TTCGGCCTGCAGAGGGAGCAGTCTGCTCCTACAGCTGCTAGCGCATCCCACACACCAGCGGGTACACCTTTCCCCAGACAAGACTGCCGCAAAGCACACCTTTGCACACGAGGGGCCGAGTGTGGGCAGGGAGCAGCATGGGGAGAGAATGCAGCATGGGGAGAGAATGCAGCATGGGGAGAGAATGCAGCATGAGGAGAGCGGCAGGGGGGTCCTTTCTACCAGTACATCCTACAACAGGGTCCCCGCATTCCAGATTGGGAGGGCCAGTTTGTAACACAATTTCCAGATTTCCCTGCTCAAACACACCTTATTCAACACACCAGTTAATCGGCAGGTTTAGTGGGTGTGTTTAAGAAGGGAAATCTGAAAACTGTGTTGCAAATTGGCCTACCAGGATCAGACTTGGGGACCCTTGTCCTACATCACACAATGGGATGAAATCCACTGTCACTTTGATGATGGCAGGGTGTCAGCTCTGCGATTGGTGGGATCACAGAGGGAAGTCAATCGCTGATTGGTTCAGCTAGCATCCTGTTAATTACTTCATTGCATTCCATTGCAAAGGAAGGTATGTGGCAAATACCACCCAATGTGGAACTCACAGCTTCATCTCTCCTCAATTAAATTGGCCACTATTGCCGCTCTTGTGGCAGACAGCAGTAATCTTCATTAAAGGGCAGCACTTTTAGCTATCCACAGTCAGGAGTCATCTTCGCGTGTATAGAAAATGTTGGTGAGGCAAGCACCTCACTCCAGGGTAACAGCACCCCCTAGTGTGTGGGAGGATATGGTACACTGAGGCATTAAGGCTGCAAATGCCCCTGAGCTACAGATGCTGCAGAGTACAGGTGCACAGGGCATATTTCACTAAATAATGAGACCGCAAATAAAGCCTACTTTTCCGATTTTTAGGACTGCCCCCCGGGGCAAATCTCATACAGGTGGAATCCCACCAAGCGGGGAAATGTTTTGGGACAAACAGGCTTCTGCACCACCATAACATGGAGGGAGAAAACAGAATTTTTATTTTAATCTGGGGCGGATGGCAAGGGGTTTCTTTTTGCGCCAGCTTCTGCAGCTCCAGCTCCGCTGAGCTGGTGTTATTGGCCAAGGACCTCCACCTGGCTGTACTTCAGACCTGGCAAGTCAAACACCGCAGGCGAGAATGACAAAAGTCGGATCTGCGTGAGCTACGCCGGGCCAAAACACATTAGACAGCACCACCCCCGCCACACGCACGGATTTCCACGAGGTCCAGAATGTCGCACAACTGAATGGATACAAGTCCTCCGCCGTCAAATCCATGGTCGTTAATCTATAATATTCGTAGAAGCCAGTCGCAGGATGAAAAGGCAAATAGAGTTCTCTCCTTTGAACAGTCTCAGCGGTTTGCGAAATTAGCTCTATTTTTTTCTTTTCAATCTAAACCGTTAATTATGTATGAAAATTTAAATTTTCGATTAAAGCACAGAACAAAAATTTGATTTCAACCCTTTCAAGATGCGAGTTTTGTCTTATGTCAGCGTTAAAAAAAAAGCGCGTTTCATTGGAATCAAATGCAATGAGGCAGAGAAAATGAAGAATTATGAGATAGCCTTAATTAATTACAACATGAATCATGTTAATAGTTCCTGGCTGTAATCCACGTTCGCTGTAAACACTGTAAGTTAAGGCTTAGCATCCCCATCGACAACAATGCGCAAGAACAAGAACAAGGACGCGTACAGACATGCGCGCACACACTCAAGGAGAAGGACGTACCCATGCACATGCACACGCACTCACAAGGGCAAAATCAAACACCCGTCAGGGCACTGACATATTTGTTCAGACAGGCAAACAAATCCGTGGAGAATCACGTCCGCCATCGAGCGTTTTATCTGTGCTGTTTACTGAAGATGATAACGTCTAAACCAATGTTGAACCACTGTCAAAAGTTTTGGCGACGGGTGTCCCGGTCAAAAAAAGATTAAGGTTGTATTCCCATTAAACTTAACAGTTCCGCCTTGGTAATTAATGAATTTGCATAAATTAGATGCAATTAAAAGATTAGGTATCAATACAAGAAACCGTGAATTAAGTCCAGTCAGAAAATGTGTTTTTTTAATGCTTGTATTTTCGGAAGGGTAACACTTAGGCCCTATGACCCAGAGATAACGCAGCATTACCCATAATGCACCTCTACATTAATATTAGCGATAGTAGAGCAGACTCCGCACGCAGCTCTCGTCACGAAGACTCCAGATGACAGCGCTAGTGACCTAAATATCAGACATACCTGCTGACAAACAGAGACAACAAAAAGACACACATACACACAAAATGACGGTAATATACACACCAACAGCCCATTTCTACCCCAAACAGCTCCAGCAAAGATATTACATTTTCCACCACAGGTGAAGAGATGTTAAAGATCAAAACATAAATGGGGGGGAAAGCACATGCATTACCTCCATATGCATTCATTTACGCACTTTCACTGCTGTGGCGAAAGAGCCATTTCCCGGCGTAGTCTGGATTTGACTGCATTAATGAGGCCAGAGTGTAATTCTTACTCTCCTATTGTTGCTGTTGTTATTTGCATGGCGGGCCCTTCCACGGCTGTGCCGTTTCCACGCGCACATATGCTTTTACACGCTTTTCTTTCCTCCGGCTCGGCGGACCCGCCTCTCCTTTCTTCCCGCCGCGTTCAGCCTAAGTAACACCTTTCACGGCGCGTCTCCGGCTGCTGGCGCGCTCACCTGTCAGGCGCGTTCGGCTGGACTGGAGCTCTGTGAACTTCCCGCACACACACACACACACACACACACACACACACACACACACACTTTAGTCTGTCACTGTGGGGGCTTCACGCTGCGCTTTTTGCCATTTTGCCTCGTGTTGACACACACACACACACACACACACCTCACAGAAACCTGAATACGGCAGCTCACATATATTGTACATGACACCTAAGCACAAAGCGAACAAACCCTCCAGGTAACACAGACACCACCACGTCCCCTCAGATGCACTAGCGGAGAGGAGAAGGCGGGAGAGGATACGACATGTCCATCAAATGCAAACCGAATCTGTTGGGTCATCTTTATGTCCTCAAGCACCCAAACGCAATGCACTGAATTATTTTCAGGCACGTACCCATGTAGTAATGTTACAGGTGTGCAATCCCCGTCTGAAATTCACTTGCTCCAGAGCTGACAGAGAGCCAGGTAGTAAAATAACGAGTTTAACCACCCCCGCCTCGAAATTTACAAGACCCCTGGGCATTCATTCTTGGCTATGGGCATGCTTCTTTTTAATGAACTTTTGCGATTTTGTCTACCATAGCCGGCTTCCTTGGCATAAATGTCAATCTGCTTGCTTTTAACAGTAGTTAAACCCGGGATCCTGGTTTGTGAGTGCTTTAAAAAACAAATCGCACCACCAATTGACCCACTTCTCACTTACTTCTATTCTTTTAACATATTTATTTTTTACAGCTAGGCCTAATTGCATAAACTGATGCATAAACATGAAGCAGTCGTTGGCGTTCCGAGTGACAGCCTTTTGCAGGCAGGTGGAGCACATCGCTCCAGGTTATCGGGAGACGCAAATGAAAGGTGGTGTCATGTGTGAAAAGCCGAATACCGATTCTGTGCTACTTGTAAGATATTTAAGCATCGCAGGGAGGAAAAACACCGTGGTGTGCAGAGCAGACATGCAACACACCCTCCCACACACACACACCCACACGCATGTTGCCATCATCTCTGCTCCCCGTCCATGGACAGGAGAGGTGAAGTGCTTTGGAAAGGTTTTTCGCGCTGTCTTTTTAACTTATAACACCTGCACCCTTGTCACAGGTTGCCTGTTTATACTCGTGCAGCCGTTTACCTGTAACTTATTCTTCCGGCGCCTGTCATCGCAGGTCGCAGGGCGCAGAGCATTGCCGCTTTCGGAGCACCGCTACGAGGACACATATACTGTAACACACCGGTGTATAACACGCCGGTGAGGGTGTTGCCTTGGGGGTGACGCTTCTCACACCCACGAACAATCCGGCCATGACCCCCGGCCTGCCGCCCACCAAGGGCCAAAACACACCCGTTACAACCACAGATTTCGGTGGGTTAAGTCCGTAACCGCAGGTCGTTGAGCTTTGACCGCAGGGCGACGGATGCGCAGCCGGCTGCGGGTGAATGACTCCGCCTCGGCGGACCGGCGCCCGGTTGAAAGACAGAAGTGCGTGCAGGCACCATCTGGACCCGCTCCCAGCCCGGTCCCGGCACCTGGATCACCGCTCCCTGGTGTGCTACACACAGTGCTCCGCGATCGTACGTTTGTGTTTCATTGGTAAAGATGAACTACCATCGCAATAACAAGTGCATGCATAGACACTTGAGGTAAGGAATGATACCCTCTCTCGTGACCAAAAACTAGGTAGGAATTGCACACACACTCACATACACACAGACACACTCACACACACACTTGACATTCACAGTCTGTTGACCAAGCAAATGACGCGCACTGTTGAATGCGTGGATAATTAAAACAGTTTCGTACATATTTTCAGATGTAATTGCAACATTCCAAAACGATTGTCGAGATAGTTTAATACAGGCAACTTTCCGATTTCAAGGCACCCTGATGCAAATGTTATGTATTTTAAATAATACTTATTTGTATTAGACACTAATAGACATTTACCTAAAACCACAGCAGAGCAATGTCCTCACGATGCTTTATAAAACTGCCCCCGTGTGATCGCAGCATTGACACTTAAGAGATGGACGGGAAAATGAAAGATTTATACACACTTTCGGGATAAGAGTAAGGGAAGGGGAGATACTCCACAGCGCATCCTCTGAAGAAAAAAAAACATTCACAGTACACAACCGCTAACGAAACCCCATCCATCCTAAAAGCTCACCCTATACAGAGAAAAGCCGACCTTTACCCGGCGATCGGCCCATTCGAAACACCCCGAGAGTATTAATAAGGCTTACCTTATTATTGACAGGCGTCGGAGTTTGCCTGGCTTCCGCCACCGACCTGTCAATGCGGGAAATAAGCAGTGGACGCCGTTAGGGCATAGCACGCCTCTCACACAAGCTCCCACTCTCTCCTCTCTCGTCCCGCTAATAAAATGACTCTTAAAATCCCTCGTCACGTACCATCATCCTCCCAGTCTCCCTCGCCGCCTCTCCCAGCCTCTCTCTCGCCTAGTCGCTCTCTCTCTCTTTCTCTCCCCTCCTCGTTTCCTCACTAAAAATGTTTGTTTTGCCGCCAAACCCTGTCAACACATGGTAACACCCTCAGCTGTCGATTAGTACCGTATCATTTATATCATGCTGATGATCACGAATTCAGTCATTTCTGTTATCATTCCGATCGCTTTAACCATGTAACAGCACACATTTAAGACATTCCACAACAGATACAGGTGTGAAGGAAGGGCAAAATAACAGGGACGGGATGATGTACCATAACTAATTTATCAGTAGTTTTACCGGGAGTTCTTCTGAAGTGGTTTTAATCAGCTGAAGGCCAGGTGGCGCTCCAGACAAGCTTCACCAGTGGCGATATCTTGGGATATTTTGACCCAGAACAGCCAGCATTTCAGTTTCTAAACCACACCCCCACCCCCCAGTACCAGAAGACACTACAGGTGGGAGCACAGGTGCCAGTAAGGGACCGGAAACATTTTCTGTAAATATGGCAAGGTTACATGACAGCCTCAGCCTGATATGTGGTTGATGGATGCGAGTATGTGCCTATCTGAGTGTTTAAGTGGAGATACGCAGAGAGAAAGGAGGGCGGAGATCTCTGCAAGGGGAATGCTGACATTCTCACCACCTGCTGCCCGCTGAACAGCATCCTTCCTGCGAACTGCAGACGGTGCCTTACCACCAGGAGAGCTGCCAGAGATTTTGCCCCCCCCCCCCCGCAATTAACATTAACTTTTTTGATCCCAGAGAGAAATTCTTGAATGATATTGCATTTTTTTTTAGACAGTGGCCTGTGGAATTGTCCTATTCCCCGCCCCCCCACCTTTGTGGCACCCCTTCATACCTTCTTCATCCAGGTGAGGCGGAGGCCAAGGATGGGAACCCAGGTAGGTCCGACAGGAACACAGTGTGAGAGAATAACTGTCTCTCTGCGTCTGAACTACGGGCGATCAAACGATGGCGTGAACACTGACGCCTCACCGATCACGCACCACTGTCCGTATCATTTTTAATAAGCCGTCACCAAATACAGTGACACGTGTCAAAGACAGCTCACTCAGCCTTACATTGCCTGCCCGCCCAAACTGGAAGAAACATGTCAGACACCCAGGGCTCCCACACGGCACACTGGCCATTAAGAGCCATTATCGACACCCCCCAGCCCGGCCAGCGACACACACGTCCACGCCGCCGCCATCGTCACCGTGAGTCACCGGGTGACCACTCGGTCTGGACACGCTCACGCAAAAACACGTGGCATGGTCAACGAGTGATGATTCAGCTACCGCCCAGAACGGGGATACTCATCAACAGCGAGGGGGCGGGACTCACCCATTCACCCATCTGTTTGTCTTTCAAACTACGGGATCCAGACATTCCACTGTTACTTACTAACCAATTAGGAGAAACCCGTGTGGATGCAAATTAGCCAATCACAAGGGAGGAAAAATTTGCATAAACCCATGGCTGCCCAGCAAATGCACCTTGACCTGGTATATCTGTGTGACACATGCTGTATCCTTTTCTGGGTCGCAGTGGTATGGCCTTCCACAATCTTAAAAATCTCTGTAATGCCACAGAATAGCATCTAAAAGGGTAAATGGGCAAGACAGATGCTCACGTAACTTATTACAAGGGAGGTAGAAATCGAAGTGCAGCAACGATAGGATGGTTTAATGCAGATATAGTGCCCTTCAGCGTGGAAAGCCCTGCCGCTGTTCTTCCACATCATCTGCATGCACATCTGGCACGAGAGCTGAGAGCCTTGGGTCTGATCCAGCCAGCTAGCGCTGGGGCTGACCAGCAGGTCAGGTGACTGGAGACTAACTGGGAATGGAGCCAACGCAGCAGTGTACACAAAGCCCTGTGCGTCTGGCCTCAGTCCACCGGGCCCAGCGGGGATGTTTGTCCCTGTGTGTGTGGGGGGGGCAGGGGGATGCTATTTCCACGGGTGACCTGCAGTACTCAGCTACAGGTACCACCGGGGAGCATTGAAGAACAAGTTCAGGTCATTAGACAGTCACAGCAGGGGTAAAACAACACGAACACACCTCACAGCAGCGAGACAGGCGTTAGCACAGAGAAATCCACCCGAGATCTACAGGGAGCACAATCCCAGCCTCAGAGCCGCAGAGACGCGGGTTCGACCGGCAGACCTACATGGAAAGCCTGGCAGCCTGCCCCGGCCGCCTCTTTGGGCTCATCCGAGCCAGAACAGCCGATGGAAATCGCTAAACTCACCAGAGTGCTAAGGACGGCGACATCTCACCAGCTCTCACAGGCTTCCATTTCATGGGAATGCAGAGTACGGCACAGGATCTGGACTGAGCCGGGGAACGCTGACTGTACCGATTAAAAATAGGCAGACTGGGGAAGGGACACGCGGAAGCCTTACCCTTAGGGGAGGGGATGCGCTGATGAATAGACGCGCGCGTTTTCTGCCATAGTACGCTTATACAAAATTAGCCAGTGCAAGCAGCACCTCGGAGGAGCGGGTGGTGGGGGGGGGGGGGGGGACAGAGTAATTTAACAGCATTTTTGCTCAAATTAAACACCAGCTCAGCTCTCGTGTTGAACCGAAACATCCCCGCGATGAGCGCTTGGGCGGAAAAATCCAGACGGATCCTTCGGCTGCAGACTGTTTTCCCAGTCTTGCAAAAGCACAGCCGTGCAATGAGAGCATGGAACCAGTGACTCCTAACCAGCCAGCAACGGAGGCGACTAGCATATAACTAGCTGGACAGAGGAGTCGGCTGCTAATTACACGGTATGAGGGGAAAAAAAAAGTGCTCAATAGCAGCCCAAAGGAGACTTTTTGTACAACAGATCCACATCCAGTTAGTTACACACTTGTGTCTTTGCTGGTGTGTTTTAGAATGCAGGATAACATTTTAAATGTTCCAGGGAAAACATATATAATTTAACAGCTAGTCTTATCACTTGGAATCATAATGAATCTGTCGGCACCAACAATAGAAATGATACAGATGGCTTGGTGTGTAGAAGGAGCTGAACCTGGAACAGGGGTTCGAAAAGGGGGCTGATCATCATAAGGAAATAATGGAGGGTGTAGGGGCCACCAGAGAGGGGTAGTGGTGAGACCCGAATCACTGAAGAAGTGTCGAACCCGTATCCAGGGCCTGATACTCATCTGTCTCTTTCATATCCCTTTGTTACACACCTGCATCATTTCCCCTCACCATCTTACTCAATTTCCTCTGTCCTCTCCACCTCATCCCACCTCCAAACCTCATTCCTCTCAAAACTCGAACATGTTTCATTTCCACAAAAATAACCCAGGACTCACACTGCCAAGTGGAATTAACTGGTCGGACGCGGCTGGCATCGGCAAACGCGTACAAGACCGATTTCTTGTCGCCTTCCCATCGTCCCGCCCCCCGCCTCTTGTGATTGGCTGTATCACAGCAATCACACACACGCTCCTGTGGTTTAGGACAAAGATACATACCGGCGCCAAGCTCGCATTAAACACATCTCTGCACACACCTGGCCCTCGCTGCTCTTGGGGGGTGCGCTCAGAACCCCCCCGAATGCACACACATTCCTCACGCCTGTTTAGCCTTCTCTCTCTAAAGCAATCCACTCCCCCCAGCCCCCACCAGATGGCTAAACCATCTGGTTCCTCCCCCTTACCGAATCCGGCAGTGCTGTTCCTCAGAACCCAAGGATCCAGATCATCCTTGGCCTCTCTGCCCACCACTGACGGGGGCCGTCCGTGAACGGCGTGGGCGTCAGCCGTGCCCCCAGGTGCCACCAATTAGCTACGGCAGAAAGCAGGCTTCCAGATCCAAAAGGTGATTCATGGCGCCAGACGCTCACCGGCTTAACTACCCTTCCCATCATGTTTTATTCTTTCCTCCAATTGGTTAAAACAATGATTGACAGCTCACGGCAAGTCCCGCCCACCGTTGGCCTTTACACACTGTGCCTTCCAAGTGCCAAGTTTCCCCATTGCGTGCAAAAGGCTTGATCCTTCGCAACTGGTGCCATGATGCTTTCATACACTAATGACTCTGTGTCTTAAAGCCACCATGATGGAAAGAATACAAAGAGAGAAACAAGAGAGATAGAAAGGCTTCAGCAGTGAAGAATCTAGGAGACTGAGACATGGAGGTCACATCAAACCAAGGATTATATTAGATACAAATACAGGATCAATCCTCTATGGGGGATAATCTGACTGGAGACCATTCAAAACACGCAACACAGCTTAGTAACTTGGTATCCACACTAGAAGCACATAGGATGAAGAAAACGGAATGGATGAACGAGCAAATGTTAACTTTGGGGGGGGGGGAAGTTAGATATGTTGACTCAACGCCATGCCAGCAATTAGGGGCTACATTTATGGCAAGAGTATATGCATATTTTAAACAGAGTGAATAAGCAAACATCATAAATGAAATGTTATCAACCATTAAAACATTTAACATGCTTAATTATATTTTTAAAAATTATTTTAAAAAATTAAAAAAAAAAAAAGCCTCTGGCTTGTCATTACTGAAAAACTCTTTAAAAGACTCAGTAAAACGTTAACTCCACCTAAGGGAGTTAGAGCAGAAGAGAACAAAAGTGCGGCCGTGATGATGCAGAGCGGCTCCGTAGGCTTTGAGGCGTGTTCTAAAGGTTCAACAGCTTGTCACCCAACCTCCCTGTCCGAATGGGATAGGCAGTCACCTCCTTCAGCTCCACGCAGCGGGACAGCAGATCACGCATCTCATTTTATCCCTGCCCGCCCAAGCCCAGTCCAACACCGCTGCAAAGAACCCATAAGCGCCAGCATGTGCTCCCAGCCGCGGCCTCCGGACGCTCGTCTCACTGCCGACATCCAGAGAGCGACTCCGGGCTCCGGAGAGGAATCCACGGTTTACGGAGATGAAAGCGAGCAGATAAGGAATCAGGACACAGCGGAGCTGGGGGGGGGGGGTCATGTGGAAGAGGCAAGTGGGAAAACGGAGGTGCGTGCTCACGCGCACGC